ATCCGGTAGATCCCATCAATGGCTTCCTTCGTCGAATCTGGTTGGCAGGTACTCTCATCGGTCTTCTTCTGTTTCCGATTCCATCGTTTTCGTGTGTTCTCAGGCGATTTCTTTCTGTTTTCTCTGTCTTCGCTGACTTCAGTTCACCGCATTGTGTGATACATGCGTGTTTATATTTCTCCTTGTTTGTTTTGATTCATCGGATTAAATCTGGTTTCGTTTCGATTGCAGTGTACTGTTTTAGATCTGAATTTGATTATGTCACATGAGCGTACTTCCGGTTTGTTTATTTGTTTGGAGCTTAAACGGATTTAGGTATTGGTACTGGACTTGGCCAAATGAATGATAATCGAATCCTGCCGTTCTTGCTCTCTGTTTGATCGGTTTAACTTGCGGACTTTCCTATGATTGGTAACCAAGTACGGCAAAAACACCGTTTAGATGGATTACTGTTTTGCACATTTTGCATGGTGTCCTGGTACGGGAGATTATTTTGTCATTTGATCGTATACATACTGTGAATTTCTAGTGTCTATGTACCTAACAGTTGATCAATGAAACACGTGCTGATAGGCAATAGTGTTTACCGGAACATTCGCTTCAATGTTTGCTTTTGCTTAATTATTATTGAGGGAGAGAGAGGGGCTGCATTGATGATATGAGTACTTTCTGCTAGTATTACTTTCAGAATATGTTTTCTTCTAATTGGCTATCATTGACTTTTCTCTCCGCACGGAAATGTAACATCTGTCGCTGATCCTTTGTTTTTTGTGGCTGATGCAGTACCTTGTAACACATTTTAGCGACTTTCAACTGGCTTGCATTGGGAGTTTTGTCCTCCATGAAAGCGTGTTTTTCTTATCTGGATTCCCTTTCATTTATCTAGAAAGGGCTGGTTTTCTCAGCAAGTACAAAATTCAGGTAAAAGTCTCTTCTTATTCTCATCGGTCCAAATGTCTTCTATGAACGAAATTAGAACTTTGTGTCATCTTTTAACGTAATCATTTAGAGGTTGATCACCGAGGAATCAGTCACTTGTGAA